AGGTTGGGTCATTTGGGGTGGTGGTATTATGGGTATGTGTGCTTGAGGTCTAAATGGTGGCTTGTGTTGGTTGTTGGTAGGTGGACGGTAGTTTGGTGGAGGAAAATAAGGTCCCTTTGGTGAAAGTGGTCGCTTTGGTACGTTTTGTGGTATTTGGTTGGGTTGGTTGTGTTGCAAATTTCCCCTTTGAAGCATTTATCGCACTTGTGAATGAGAGGGTGTAGTAGAGGGATTAGTAAGCGTCATACTACGCTCCCTTCCTTGTTGCCTCAAGTGAGATTCCTCTATCATGGAATTCAACCTTGCATCCGTTTGGTGTTGCCGTATGCTAATACTGGTAACCTTCTCACTTAAGTTGGTAACCTTCTCGCTTATGTCATAAAGCATAGAAACAACATCATGCATCGGAGTCTCACTCCGTGGATCACAATTAGGAGTAGATTTTTGTCCGTACTCCATGATACCTACAAAATGAGCAAACAAGTTAGTAGTAAAAGTCCTCACCAACTCACTTGATGTCGCTCAACCCTCGTGTATCACACTTTGCACCAATTGGCTCTTGCATGCTCAAAGTCCTATTCGCTCTTGCCTTTTCCCGCTCAAGTAGTGAATGTCAAATTGCTAGCAAACTTAAGTTCCAAGGTTTCACAACAAGTTCCAACCGTCTTCGGGGTGGAGTGGAAGTTGTGTATTCACAAGGACGGACAATTAAAAGCAAACGGACTTGAACCAAGCAATTCACAACGAAATTAAAAGACAAAAGCACGAAACAACATTAAGCACACAAAGAACTAGGTTAAACTTAATATGAACTAATATCAAGTTTACACTAGTTTAGAGTTAACAATAAAGAAGTTGACAGAAAACTGAAACTAATTTAGAGTTAACAATCAGAGTTTCTTGGTAAAACTGTGCGACCACTGTAGCTCCTAGTTTTCTGAAGTTTCCTGAGCATTCCCTGAACCTGAATTAAACTTGAACCCACTGTAAACTACAATTCTGTTGAACAGCTAAAACAGCTAGGAAAAATTAATCTGCAGATGTGCAACTGATGTCCGAAATTGCAGGAACAGTGCAGGAATTTCAGAACTGAACATGCAACAAAACTAGCAGTGTTTGTTGGTGCAGATTTACTGTGAAGTTGCACCTCAAGTACCGTCCCAAACTGATGCTCAAACTTCACTAAGCTACTGCAGAATTTTCAGCAGCTTAACTGGACACAAAACTACAGAATTTTAGCTCAAAGAGTGCAGAAGCAGGACAGGTTTTTTTTAGGCTGCAGTACTGCAGAAGTTATGGCTCAAAGTGTAGAAAAATTGCAGCTCAAATTGTGCAAACTGCAGATTTTCAAGGCTGTTTCAACAGCTTCCAATAGCAGTCCAAAACACTCCTATTTTAGTTCAAAATTCTCCAAACAAGCTCTAATGTCCACACCCAACTTCAGGTTCACAAAATGTTGCAGAAAAATAAAAATAGTGCTTAGGGAACTTGTATTAAATCAGCAGATTTCAATTAAATGCAGAATTCTAAGACTCGAACAAGCTGGTGCAGGTTTGCTATTCAAATGCTGCTCAAAACTCAGAACTTCAGCAACACCTTGAGCACTTAATTCAGCAGCAGTAGAAACAGAAATTTCTAGCTCAGAATGTCGACCTCAACAGTAGAATTCAAAGTATTGGAATCACAGCAGCATTGAATCAGAATCTCAGCAGTTGGAACAGCTATACCAAATTTTCAGATTAATTTCATCCAAGAAATAAACTAAACTCCCAAACTAGAACCAAAACCATGTTCAATAATTCAAGCCTCTCATTCAACAGACTACCATGAATTTCAGTTTAGAAACATAGGTATCCAATTCAAAATCCAACCAAAATTTGACCAAACTACTCAATGAACTCAGCAGAAACCAAACCAGAAATCACAGCAAAAAATCACACAATTAGTCAGTGCAGTACTACAACTTCAGTACAATTTTCCAGTACAAACTTGACGACAAGCTCTCGATCAAAATTCAACAGCAGCGACTCAAACTTTCCAGTACAATTGAAGTTAAACAACTTAAAAACTCGATCAAGAATTGAGCTCAAATTCCTTCTACAACTTCAGTCACCAAGCAACAAGGAACTCGAGTCGACTTCACGGATTAAAATCAAATCAACTCAGAAAGATCGAGTCGATGTTCTGTTGAAACTCACTTCTCTTCAAATTTTAGAAATCAGAGATGGAGAACAGTTTTAAACTCAAGGAATCGAACCTGGTTCGTGTGACAATTCCTCAGCTGCTCGAGTCGACTCGAATCAGTTCGGGAAGTTCTTCAATCGAAACAAGTGTTCTTCGACTGATTCAAGCTCGGCTAAAAAATTCTCAGTTCAATCTTACTCAAATCCTCACACAATGAGTTCAAATTTGATATACGAGCTCCATTCAACACAAAACAATCCCCAGTGATTAGTTTCTAGACACGACCACGAAATCAGAAGAACCCAGCCTGTCGTGTTCTTCGCAGATTCCTTTTGAAAGTTTTCTGACAAGAATCGCATCAAATCAGTTTCAATCAAGCTAGAAGTTCGAATACAACTTCCCAACAGGTGTAGGGATGAACCCCCAGTGACTAATTTGAACAGACACTCACGATATCGATGAACCCTAGGTCGTTTTCTTCTTCTTCGCACAATCAGCTCAAAATTTCGAACCAAAAACTAGCAAATCAGTTAAAATCAAGCTAATCCTTCCAATTCAGCTTTAAACTGATGTTTCCAACTATATTCTCAAACTCCCAATCGAATTCGAACTCAAATCACGGAACAGGAGTAAAAATCCCCAAAATCGCTTCTGATGTTCGACGCCTTAGGGCTCAAAAGTGTTTGACTCAAAAGATGCTAAACTCTTTTTAACCAAATCAATCAAAGAAGGTAAATTATAGTCGATCATAATTCCTATCTGATTTAAAGATAAAGAAATGGCAATTAAATACAGAAATGGAGGAAGCATGGAAAATATTTTATTCATGATGAAGCTTTGCCCGTAAAAATAGCACGGTATAGCCAGTTTTCGGACTGGTCAATCAAAAATAGCCAGCGTTTACCAAATCAATGAAAAATAGCCACCGTTTTGCTGCAATAAATACTTTTGAAATGAAAGATTTATTTAAAATTTACTATCATAGCAGTCTTAGTGGATAACGTGCAATAATTTTTATTTAATTATGATATAAAATACTCTTAACTTAATGATTTATGATTAAGAAAAAAGTAATTTTGAATAGTCAAGCTTTGTTAAGAAAATTTGAAGATTTACAGGTTAATTACATATAACTGCATAAAGTTCTATTAGGCGAGCCCAGTACCCCGGGCGTTGGGCGTGTCCGGGCGTAAGCCCCGGTGGCCGAGGTGTAAGTCTCACGGAACTAAGCCCCACACATAAGTCCAGGGGCGTTTCACGAGTGCTCCACCCCGGGGCGAGTCCTAATTCTGCGTTTTAAACAGAGGAACAAACAAAGGAAGAACAATGAGATACAATTCCCAATTCAAATACGGATGAACAGTAAACTTTCTATTTTTTTGGGAAATTTTAGTTTTTATTTTATTTTCAGATTAGATGATAATCAAAACAAAGACTTAAGGATTGATAGAACAATCCAAAACCTCCGTTCTGATACCAAGATGATACGAACTATGAACCAAAACACGGATATGACAAAATACACTGAATCAACAATAAGAGCTAGACCTACAATTGATTGGAAGAACAAGAACCAATTAGGCTCTAAAGCCTAATTACCTCTATGAATTCAATCAATTGTAACCTTAAGTTATGAAAACCCTCAAGAGATTGGCAACACTTGAAAATCCGGATAAAGTAATTAAGCAATTAAGCATTCACTACTAATTGCTCACCAACTAAGACTAATTTAGCACTAATGAAAGCATAAACAAAGCAATAAAGGAATTAAAGGCATAAACATAAATGCATTAATTAAAAGATAAGGAAAGAGTGTGAGACTTGCATGTCTTCAAGTTTTATCATTCATCAAGTCTACCTAAAATAAAAGCCTTAAGGGCTATTTATACTAGAGTGGGCATTTGGCTACAAATGACCCAAATACCCCTAAGCAAATTCTAAGGAGCTTAGTCAATTATTACAAGTATAGCCTTCTTGATCTTGACTCCTTTAAAGCACTCCAATGCTATGATGTTGACTTGGAAATTGTTAGGCATGCTCATCCAGCATGTATTAGTATCAGAGATGACCAAGAATTAGTAGTTCTTTTGCATTGCTATTTGCTACCAAAAAAAAAAGTTGATTGCACATGCATTTTAACAACAATGGAATGGCTAAGACTTCAGCTACTGTTAAGCTTGGTTTTTTTAATTATGGGAAAGTTGTTGACAATCAAGGGGTTAGATCTGTTGAGCTTCATTTTTGTTGATTATGGGGAAGTGTTCAAGGGCTAGGTAATTATTTTATGGGATACATATTTAAGGAGGAAATGATATGCGATTATTTTGGAGGTTTAAGAACTGAAAGGTGTAAGGACTCTGTTAAATCTGATTTGAAATAGATTTGGTTTCAGATAACATATCACATCCCTTTTCAAACAATATTATAATTAAAACTAGTAAATTTGCCGCGCTTCGTGCGGTCTCATAAATAAATTAATAAAATATAAAAAGTCCTTTATAATTTTATTTATTTAATTTAAAAAATTGTAGTACATACAAATGTTATTTGATTAATTATTTCCAAAAAAGAGAAAAATTGAAGGGATAAAAGGAATGATAATTATAAATGTGTTTCTTAGCGATAGATATGCCAAATTACGTGACCCCACACACATACATATACTAGATGGGATTGGCCCGGGCTGCCCGGGCCCAACACTTAAGGTTATAGCGTGTTTTTACCCGCTCAAGCAGTAAAATTGTGCTAATACCACGATGGATATGGATATATATCCCTATGGCTGAACAATAATATTGGTGTTGACCTTTGTACAATTGAGAAAAAAAACTCCAACATACTTAATTCATCATTTGCATTCTGTAATTCACTTTAGAGTGCCAACAGATTTAACCATGAAAATTCAAAAACTACACGTATTTGCACTCATCTGGAGAGCATCTAGAAAAGGTATAATGTACCAAATCTTTTCAACTTATTAATCCCAGTCGATGTCCACTCTCCTTTATTCCAATCGAAAGTATTCGGGTAAATCGGTTGCCAAAAGAAACTCTTGTTCTGCAAAGTAGATATTGTCATTCACATCAATATGGCGAAGCTTTGGGATACAACAACTAATAGCAGTATCATAAGTGCAACATATGCTTTTGGGGATAAGCAGATAATGAGTCAAAAAAAGTGTGTTCAGAACTAAAAAGTTAGGAACCAGCGTTACACTTCTATCACTAAAATTTACTCCTGTAAAAAGTGAGATTCCATTTTGATTAAGTAGTACCTTATCTAACCTCTAAGTTAAACATCTAAGTAAGACACAAGACATATGTATAGATTGAATTCCTAACATAGATATTTCTTGGAAATAACTTTGGGACAACAGACATAAATACAAATAAGGACAGTTTCTCCGTATTGGCTACTGTTCTCACTTTCCGCCACAAGAAACATTTCCAAAATTGGGTCCGGAGAATCTAGAGAGCCAGCCGCAGATAATCCTCTTCAGTTAAGCTTTAATAAGAAGGCAAATATATCTGAAACTTAAGACTCAAACCAAATACTATCTAATCATTGTAATGCTTCCCCATTTTTTCTCACATTTCAATATGATACGACAAAAAGAGTATACAACAGATAGATAACGACAAACAATGACAAGTCAAACAAATTTATCAACAGCAAGTTGGTGTTGTGGGATTTTTTATCCGTATGCATCTGTATGTTAAACAATTTATACATTTTCATCATCACATCTCTAACAACGACTTCATGCGGAAAGATATGCAAACACAAAGACTTACAGGTCAAAAACTAATCTATTGTACGGATCATCTCATATTCTCATTAACTTACTGCCGATGTACAATTTTGCTTATTTTACTACCATGAGAAAGACAAATTCTATTTCTTAGTCAAATGTATTATATTTTCTAACAATAGCCTCATCTTCTCTCTTGGAGTAGAAGGAGAAAACAATATTGAAGTATCTTAGTCATAATTTTTCACTTTAATGTTCTATTTTCTTCTTATCCATACTGAATCGTAAATTGCAATTACAAATTTACAATAGGTTTGAAAGTTCAAGTGAGACAAACTTGATAGTTAATTCTACATTACTTGGGTTGATTTTTTATTTATCAGAAACGATATTAGAAAAAGGCAGAGATGTAACATATTCTCAGTAGATAACCATGATCTCGTAACATAGATCCTTCAAATTAAAATAACCTCAGTACTCAGAAGAATCATTCGCTATTGAAGTTATACACACAAAAATACAATAATGAGAAACCGAGTAAGATTCAACAGATAACGATCATCTCTAAAGAGTGAAACTTCATCGTAAAGCACATTACCAAATAAAAAAATTGAAAAGTACAAAGTTATCTGTAAAGTAGAGATTCAAAGTAGACAACATAGCATGAACCAGGTTGTTCTGATTATTTTTTTTTTTTTTGTTTTCATTTCATTCTTTTTTTAAATGGGATAGACTATCTTGTAAGTTCATAACTTTAGCCAAAAAATTATCTGATTATCCAGGTTGAAGAGATTTATTTTCAGCTGATTCTATAAAGTATATTATGGGGTTCTGTCCAAAATTTTATTTTGGTGTTACCTCACTCGTCACAACATCTTTCTTGGACATTCTCATAATATCTGATACCCATGAGTTGAACTTTTAATATACTTGCTGTGTTACTCTCTTTTTTCTCTTTTCGGTCTACGTATTTTTAACTACCAAGTTGATCTCTTTTTTCTCTTTTTAGTCCACGTGTTTTTAACTACCAAGTTGGTCTTTTAGCAAGACAAAACTGAATTAAAAAATTAGTCCAACACAAAAATAGCAAAAGAAGTTAAATACCAGATAAATATGTCAAATTTCAGAAAAGCTCGAGTAACACTCCTACAAAACTTAGTTTCCCTGTGTTTTTTTATCACCATTCCACAAGATATAATATGAAGAGGTAAAAGCACATATATTTCCGCAGATAAAGCATAACTAATCATTTGTCATAGCTTCCTTTTGAAAAGTAAGACCCAATTAATTGCCAAATAAGTTGACAGAGAACAGCCCTGATAAACGAAGCAGCATAGAAAATGGAGTAGACACAAGGTCTTCAAATGTAAGTTTTTGATCCTTACGTTCTGGGTGACCAAATCGAATATTCAATCACCCAATGACCCTTCAACTCCAAAATAACCCTATAATTATAAATATCTAATTCATGATTTCATTGGGAAAAAGCTGAAAATTTGACAGAAAATACCTGAAAATAGAAGGAGAATTTGTGCAGCTAGCGAATCAAACATCAATTTTAAGTCTTTCGTGAACGTGCTACAAAAGAATATCACATTCGTTTTGAGTTCAAATTGATCAAAATATTTAACTGGGTAACCAGTTGTAGTGTTACAGAGAAACTGCCATCTTTTAGCTAAAGCAAATCAAACATCAATTTCAAGTCTTTCGATTTCTTCTCGGTGAACGTGCTACAAAAGAATATCACATTCGTTTTGAGTTCAAATTGATCAAAAATATTTAACTGGGTAACCAGTTGTAGTGTTACAGAGAAACTGCCATCTTTTAGCTAAAGCAAATCGCGGATTCATCAAATAATTGAGATTGAATAATTTTACATATCAATACTTGAGTTATGGAGTTTAAATCTTTATTAACATTATGTTATGAGAAAATTATCGGTCTGCCTGCAAATCTTGAACAAATTTAAATATGTAACCTTGAAAATATAAGGAAGGGTTTCTCATTTAAAATTTGGAATGGTTCCGGTCAATTTCTCTTTGATGTGGATATTGTCTCATTGCCTTTTTTTCCGACAATCTATATAAAGGTTCCAATGTCTGGTGTTGGGCTTGTTATTAATAAATAATAACAAAAGAGGTGTGAATGAAAAATGGTGGGAAAAGAAATGGAGGGAAGTGAAATTTTGAGTGAGTTCATTTCACTTATGCACTTTGTCCCTCATTGGTAGAAGGAAAGAAAATCTTTCTGTATATAAAGAGAAGCTCATCTTTTAGCTCTTAAAGAGCTAAGAAGAAGGCAAGCCTCGCGCCGTCGTCGCTCGCTCGCTCGCTCGCTCGGCTCGGCTTCGGATTCGGATTTGGCTTCGGATTTGTCAAAGATCGATTGATTGAAGCTCATCTAGAAGGCAAGCCTCGCGCCGTCGTCGTCGTCGCTCGCTCGGCTCGGCTTCGGCTTCGGCTTCGGATTCGGATTTGTCGAAGATCGATTGATTGATTAATCTTTTTGGACTCCCACAATATTTTTAACACCCATGGCTGTTCTGAAACAGTGTCACACCTGTTCCAACAGCTATGGCTGTTCTGAAAGGTTACAAACCTTTTCAGAAACAACACCGAAATTGGCTATAAATACACCTTCAAATCCCAGAATATATACTTACGAAATTTTCTGAATCTTTTTCTTCTTCTTCTTCTGCACAAAATATTCCAGTGTGTTTTAGGACCATCGAGTGGCTCGCCGATCACCAGAGTTTTAGGTACCGATACACTGGTGAGTTAAATCGTTCTATCCTGGGAGGATATATTCCAGAACCTCGGGTACTTGAGGGGAATAATTTCCTTAAGGACACACTGTGTATTCAGTGGGCTCGATTTGTTCCTACAACGTTTTCAGAATTTATTTTGAAGAAGTTTACTGTTTTCGAAATTCAATTTCTATTAACTTTCTGTTTTTGTTTTCAGAAAGATTATTATTTAATTTATTTTCAGCAATACAGATATAGTAACTATCTTATGGAAATTATATTTATTATATTCTGTATTCTGTCTGAATTTTACTATTCTGATTTGAAGATATAAAAACTTCATCAGGATATTGAAATTCAGAAAACGATTTGAAGAACATAAAAACTTCATCGTTTTTCTGTAAAACAGTATATAAAAACCTTAGTTATTTTTATTACGTACTGTTTATTGATTACAATATTATTTACTGTTTTGGTTTTGCCTTTAATTGATTTCTTCTGTTGTTGACAGTAAGAAATGGCAAATGAAAATGGAAATCCTTCTGCGACTGTTGGTGCAATGACGATAGCCTCGTCAAGCCGCACTGCTGTTCCTCCGGCTGAGAAATCGAGGAAATTTTCCGGAACCAACTTTAAAGGATGGCAGCAAAGGGTGTTCTTCTGACTTACCTCACTTGGTATGCAGAAATTCACTAGTGAAGAGGCTCCAGTGCCTGATGCGGACATGCCGGACAATGAAAAGTTCATGGTTGTTGAGGCGTGGAAGCAGATAGATTTTCTTTGCAAAGGCTATATTTTAAGTGCTTTAGAAGATGACTTGTACAATGTGTACAGTGCAATGAATACTTCGAAAGAATTATGGAACGCACTTGAGAAGAAGTACAAGACAGAAGATGCATGCTTGAAGAAGTTCGTGGTTGCCAAGTTTCTAGACTATAAAATGATAGACAGCAAAACTGTGGGAACCCAAATTCAGGAGCTTCAACTTGTTTTTCACGACCTTATTGCTGAGGGTATGGTCGTAAATGAAGCATTTCAAGTGGCTGCTATGATTGAAAAATTGCCTCTTTCGTGGAGAGATTTCAAGAACTATCTTAAGCACAAGCGCAAAGAAATGAAGTTGGAAGATCTTGTGATACGTCTAAAGATCGAGGAAGACAACAAAACAGCCGAGAAGAAGTCTCGTGGAAATTCAACGATCATGGGAGCTAATATCGTTGAGGAGACTGCTCCAAAAAGTAAGAAGAGGAAGAGGTCTTTTGGACAAACTAAGGAGCAAGAACAAAAAGAAATTCAAGGACAGTTGCTACAATTGTGGAAAAGTTGGTCACAGAGCGCTGATTGTTTCGTCTCCCGAAAAAGATAATAAGAAAGGACAAGCCAACATAGTGGAGAAGAATAATAACATTGATGATTCACTTTGCGCAATGCTTTCAGAATGCAACCTAAGTTGGAAATCCGAAGGAGTGGTGGATTGGACTCTGGAGCCATCGACATGTTTGTGCTGTCAAAGAAGCATTTGCGACTTACTCTACTGCTGGTCCCAAGAAGAAATTTCCATGGGAAAATAATGCAACAGCCAAGATTGAAGTTTATGGAAGATATTCCTGAAGATGACTTCCGGCAAGGTGATAACGCTCAAACAACGTTCTTCAGTTTCCTACTATTAGGAAGAATTTTAGTTTCTACTTCTTTACTTGTAAAGAATGGATTCAAATGTGTTATTTGTTTCTGATAAAGTTTGTTGTAAAGCAAGAACGAAAATGTATGTTGGAAAAGGCTACCTCACGGAGGGCCTTTTCCAACTCAATGTAATGGTTGTTGACAGTATTGAATAAAATTTCAGCTTCTTCTTATTTATTGGAGTCAAATGATTATGGCATATTCGTTTAGGACATGTCAAATTATAAAACCTTGCGGAAGTTAATTAATTTAGAAGTATTGCCTAAATTCGAGTGTAATAAATCGAACATGTCAAATATTGTGTTTGAATCCAAGTTGTAAAAACATCCTGATAAGTCTGTGAAAGGAATTCAATCCTTTTAGACTTAATTCATACTGACATTTGCGATATGAAGTCGACACCATCTCGAGGTGGAAAAAAGTATTTTATTACTTTTTATTGACGATTGCACTAGATATTGCTATGTTTATTTGCTTAATAGTAAGAATGAAGTCAATTGAAGCATTTAAAGCAATACAAAGAATGAGTAAGGAAATAATTGAATAAAAAGAATCCAAAAATGATTAGAAGTGATAGAGGTGGAGAATATGAATCTCCGTTTGCAGAAATATGTTCGGAATATGGAATTATCCATCAAACTACTGCACCTTACACACCTCAATCCAACAGAATTGCGGAAAGGAAAAATCGGACATTAAAAGAAATGATGAATTCTTTATTAATAATTTTTGGATTACCGCAGAGTTTGTGGGGGGAAGCTATCCTTACAGCTAACCGAATACTCAACAGAGTACCCCACAGCAAAACGCAATCTATTCCATATGAAAAATAGAAAGAAAGAAAGCCCAACTTGAAATATTTCAAAGTGTGGGGGTGTCTAGCAAAGGTACAAGTTCCTTTACCTAAAAGGGTTAAAATTGGACCAAAATAGTAGATTGCGTTTTCATTGGATATGCTACAAATAGTAAAGCATGTCGATTTTTGGTTCATAAATCTGATAATCCCGAATTCATGTTAATACAGTAATGGAATCAAATAATGCTGAATTCTTTGAAAGCATCTATCCGTATAAAACTGAAAGCGAGTCGTTAAGTGAAAGACCTAAACGACCTCGAGAAGAACCAAAGGAAAATACTCCAAGAATAGAAGATCCAAGGCGTAGCAAACGTCAAAGAGCATCTACTTCCTTTGGACCAGATTTTTTGACATTCTTGCTTGAAAATGAGCCTCAAACTTTTAAAGCAGCTATGTCGTCTTCTGATTCAGCATTTTGGAAAGAGGCAATCAATAGTGAGATTCAATCAATTTTGGATAACCATACATGGGAATTGGTTGATCTTCCTCCAGGAAATAAGCCCTTAGGTTCGAAATGGATCTTTAAATGGAAAACTAAAGCTGATGGCACTATTGACAAATATAAGGCAAGACTTGTTGTCAAAGGTTATAGACAAAAGGAAGGCCTTGATTACTTTGACACTTACTCGCCAGTAACAAGGATAACATCTATTAGGGTGTTAGTGGCACTAGCGCCCGTGTATGGTCTTGAAATCCATCAAATGGATGTTAAAACAGCTTTCCTAAATGAAGAATTGGAGGAAGAAATTTACATGGAACAACCTGAGGGTTTTGTGGTTCCTGGTAAAGAAAAGAAAGTGTGCAAACTTGTTAAGTCGCTTTATGGACTTAAACAAGCACCCAAACAATGGAATGCAAAATTTGACCAAACAATGTTGGCAAATGGATTTAAAATCAACGAGTGTGACAAATGTGTTTACATTAAAAATACTCCAGGTCATGAAGTCATTATTTGTTTATATGTTGATGACATGTTGATAATAAGCAAAAGTATGGCAGATATAAATACTACAAAGCGCATGTTGGCTAGCAAATTCGACATGAAAGACTTAGGAGTTGCTGATGTGATCTTAGGAATCAGAATTCGCAAGACTCCACAAGGTCTAGCATTATCACAGTCTCACTACATTGAAAAGGTACTTGACAAGTTCAAGTATTTGGATTTCAAAATTGCCAAGACTCTAATTGACGTGAGTTATGCACTTCAAAAGAATGAAGGTGAAAGTGACTCACAACTGGACTATGCAAGAGTATTGGGAAGTTTGATGTATATCATGAATTGTACGCGACCAGATATAGCATGTACTATTAGCAAACTGAGTCGGTTTACAAGTAATCCCAATCAAATACATTGGATAGCAATGAAACGAGTTTTGGGATATCTGAAACATACCCAAAATTATGCTTTGCATTATAACAAATATCCTTTCGTGATCGAGGGATATAGTGATGCAAATTGGATCACCGGATCATTTGAAGTTAAATCCACGAGTGGATATGTTTTCACAATTGGGGGTGGAGCGGTGTCTTGGAGGAAATCATCCAAACAAACGTGCATCGCCCGTTCTACAATGGAATCTGAATTCATAGTTTTAGATAAGGCCGGTGAAGAAGCTGAATGGCTCCGGAATTTCTTGGAAGATATTCCATTTTGGCCCAAACCTTTGGCACCTATATGTATACATTGTGATAGTCAAGCGGCAATAAGTAGGGCATGGAGCGTTATGTATAACGGGAAATCTTGTCATATTCGACGGAGACACAATACTGTTAGACAACTACTGTCTAGTGGTGTTATCACAATTGACTACGTAAAGTCAAGAGATAACGTGTCGGATCCACTTACAAAAGGCCTATCTAGAGAGGCAGTTGAAGGATCATCAAAGGGAATGGGGTTAAAGGCCTAGGACACGTCATCATGGCGGTAACTCTACCTAGCAGACTGGAGATCCCAAGAGCTAGGTTCAAAGAGATCAAACAAAGTTATGAATGACGGTTCAACATTGTCAACTAACTCAACCCATTCTCGTGATGAAGACAATGTTCAAAAATGAGGTAAAGCATTAAGGCTTTTTGATGAGTCAATAAAGCTTAAAGCTTTTTAATGATTTGCAAAGTCTGGCATGATATGATCAGATAGTGTTTCTTTAGGATTACACGTTTAGGAATCACCCATGTGAGTGTGAAGTGTAAGCCGCTTCAAGGAGAATGAAAGTAAAGGCCCATTCTCTAAGCACTCATTAAACCAGGCGGTGTTCATGACTGAAACGAACACAACCGTGAGAACCATAGATGGTTAAGGATTGATTGTGTGACTTATGTTGTCTAGGTATACAACAAAGCTCGACAGTTCAAAGATATCAAATCTACCGATTGACCGAGTATATCCGATATAAGTTCACTACGGAAAGTTCAAAGGGAAACCTACTTATCCAGATGCAATCAATTCTTGCTTGTAAAACACACACACGTCCGTGCATTCCTTTGAGTTTATAGCCATTCCCCATTCATGTGGGGGATTGTTGGGTTTGTTATTAATAAATAATAACAAAAGAGGTGTGAATGAAAAATGGTGGAAAAAGAAATGGAGGGAAGTGAAATTTTGAATGAGTTCATTTCACTTATGCACTTTGTCCCTCATTGGTAGAAGGAAAAAAAATCTTTGTGTATATGAAGAGAAGCTCATCTTTTAGCTCTTAAAGAGCTAAGAAGAAGGCAAGCCTCGCGCCGTCGTCGTCGTCGCTCGCTCGGCTCGGCTTCGACTTCGGATTTGTCAAAGATTGTTTGATCAATCTTTTTGGACAAAATTCTTTTTAAATATTTTATTAATTAATTAAATTAATTAAAGAAAATTCAATCCGGAATAACCCATGACCCGCGACCCGGTCCGGTCCGGCCCGTTTTTCTTTCCCGGATTATTTTAAATCCAGCCATGGCTGTTCTGAAACAATGTCACACCTGTTCCAACAGCTATGGCCGTTCTGAAAGGTTACAAACCTTTTGAGAAACAACACCGAAATTGGCTATAAATACACCTTCAAATCCCAGAATATTTACTTACGAAATTTTCTGAATCTTCTTCTTCTTCTGCACAAAATATTCCAGTGTGTTTTACGACCATCGAGTGGTTCGCCGATCACCAGAGTTTTAGGTACCGATACACTGGTGAGTTAAATCGTTCTATCCTGGGAGGATATATTCCAGAACCTCGGGTACTTGAGGGGAATAATTTCCTTAAGGACACACTGTGTATTCAGTGGGCTCGATTTGTTCCTACAATGTTTTCAGAATTTATTTTGAAGAAGTTTACTGTTTTCGGAATTTAATTTCTATTAACTTTCTGTTTTTGTTTTTCAGTAAGATTATTATTTAATTTATT